GGATGTTTTGTTTACATTTTGTAGATACGATCATTATGAAAATAAAGTTAGTTATGTTAGAATTATTGCATAGTTAATCAAAAAAGAAATGTTTTTTTATGAAATAGAATTCGGTTTTGTTAAATGTTGTTATGTGTTTGTAAGAAAAGTTCTCATGCAGAACATTATATTTTAAATATTGAACATTGGTCTATATTCTATTGCAAGTAAAATAATACTTATCTGACTTATTTTAGAAAGAAAATTTTAAAAAATAATGGATTTTTAAATAAAAACTTCACATGGCAAATAAAAATCTGAATAAAAAAGTGCTTTATAAATAAAATTGATGTATAATAACATGTATGCTTGTTTTTATTACTTTATTTCTCTATATGTGTTATACAAAAATACATTTAATAAAATAATCTGATTTTTTTTCATTCTGTATGAATGAAAATGAGTGAAAAGTAATTTTTCTATCATGCATGGAACATTTTACTATTATGATTGATTTTGCTATGATTTTTGTTAGAACTTAACAGTTACCAATTAAGTGAAGGTAAGTAATATAGATATAATCAACATTGATATTCTAGACATAAAATTAACTTGTTTATAAAATTGGTTTTAAAATAAAATTTCTTGAAGAAAATTTACTAACAATTAAGTTTTTCCAATAAATATACAAAGTAAAATTTTTATAGGACTCACACACAGCACGAGACACACAATCTTAGAGCCTCATTTTAGTATATTTGTTGATCACATATCTTTATAAATAATTTTCTTATGTGTGTTTCCTTTCAATGCACAACATTAAGGAATCTGCATAATTTCTATGCAACAAGAATATATATATATGTAGAATATATGTATATATATTTAATTATATATATATATTCATATTATTTCTATTGGTTTAAGCAACATTAATACTTGATTATGAGACTTAGTATTAAGTAGATAAACTATTTTACAATGATGTTTTGTAAGTCACTCAGGCAACCATTGTTCGTTATAGACCTCAGGTTTTACAATATTTAAAAAAGAATATGTTTGTCCATTAGCAAAAAATATTTATAGATTGCTCCCTGTGTACCTAAATCAAATTTTAGCCCACAACCAGGCAGTAGCTTACAAGAAAGAAGAAAAAAAACATCATGACAGAGTATGAAATTTAAGGGCTAACTCGTAATCTTTCCCGAGTAAACAACTGCATATTTTTTTAAGGTAATTTTGTTTCTTTTGGCAATTGTTGTTGACACAAACAATTGTTATTGACTACTAGTTAGATTAGTACTGTTTGCCATAACTTTGGCACCAATCAGTGAAAGGTATTGCGTCAGGTTGCTTTATTTACTTTGGTGATTCGAAGACATGCCATTACAATTTTGATCATCTGCAGAAGGAATGGCTCACCTGATTTGGTAACCCGACGTCCTGCATGCGAAGTCTTGCACTTCATGGTAAAACAGTTTTAGGAGAACCGGTACAGCACACCCTCAGTCTCTACGCAAGCTGATCAAAATGGTTACTCAACCACTTATTGACTGCAGCCAGTGGTGCTTGACTTCAGTGTTCTACTCGTAACCGTGTCTTAACGATCAGTCCAATGCAGGACTAATAGAGATGAAAAAATGAACTTAAGAGTTTAAATTTGTATTAAGGAAAAATTCTACTGTATTAGATTTTATTCTTGAAATTCAAGGGCATGCACATTCTAGAAAATTTACTCAAAAGCATAATTGAAAACTATTAATAAGAGAGGAAAATCATTTGTATGCATTTAAAAATGAAGTAAGCTTTTGTGAACTTCAAAAGTTTTATTATTTTTCAAACAGCACTTTTTATTACTCACAGGCTCAATAACTTCTTAAACTTTTTTTCTGGCTTACTAACTTAATTTATTGCTAAATGTATCACTATGCTGATATCTGTAATTTTTTATAACATATAAGATGTTATATATTATATACATACTATTTATATAACACAGATTTTTTTAAACTTGCTTTTTTTTACTTTTTAAATTGCATTATAGTTTTTAATTATAAAACAATAAAACATTAGCATTATTTGATCTATAAAAATTTTTTGAATGAATCATATTTTTACTGTAACATAAACCAACATGAATGATAATATTATGGTGTTTAATTTTTAATTCCATGGAATGAAGTTATTGAGCCAACTAATGTCACATATTTGTTGTCTTTTATCATTGACTACATACGCAAAGTTTGTTTCTCATATTTTTTCCTTAAATATATCTCAAAAATGTAGAATAATAAAAACATGAGCACGTCTTCATTTATTAAGGATTCAATAAAATTATACTTAGTTAAAACAAGCTCTCTTCAAAGAATCATGTTGTGGTGTTCACATGCTCAGTTGCAGAAGTCTAGAAAAATAGCAATTTTAAAATTTAGTTGGCACATCACTCATTTTAGTTGGCCCGATAGATCATGTTACGGAAATATCCCTGAACTGTGTTAGTTCATTTAATAGTCTATTTTCCCTTAAGAGACAACTACTTTCTGCCACTCTTACAGGGCAAGAATCACTCGTTTCCATAACATTAAAAGTTTATCTCCTGGTTATTGACAATATGCAAAGAAAAAATATTTAAATGCAACCTATTTATCAAACTTAGTTAATAGTGCCAAGAAGAACCAGTTTTCAAATGACTTTCAGTCAATTAAATATAAAAAATTAAAATGTGATTTTACATAGCTCATAAAGCAGTTCAAAGAAAAATTTTGGTATGGCATGAACTAAAAATTATTGCTATCTCATATTACAGTAATGAAAAATTCTTTTTCATTTAGTCTATTTGAGCTGTGCTAGAGACATGCAAATAAAAATTTAAGAAAATTCTGCTAAGTTACTCTATTCAAGTAAATATCTCTGCACTTAGTGTTACGAAAACAGATATGTTGTCTTTAACAAATTAATTTTCACTTTTATTTTTCTTATAATTTAGTTGAAATAAAAAATGTTTTCACCAATTCACACTACAACTTCATCAATAGTAACAAAATAAAGTGAAAAGTGGCTGTGAATTCTTTTTCTTCTAAGTTAAGTTTTAAAAACAAAACTTTTTTCAACTTACAGCTGCTAGCATTTATGTAGTTAAGATTTATAAAAAGGAGAATTATAACATGCACTGTAACTTTTATTCATGGCATGAAGTTGTTATTCTCTGATTTAGAACATTTTACTAAGTGATGTTTTTTTTAATACTTTAGAAAAATGTAGCAAACAAATCAAAAAAGATAAATTAATGTATGTGCTTTGAAAATCTGTTGACTGCTACTAAAAAAACATATGTTAAGAGATAAGAAATTTTATAAATAAATGAAACTCCCCTCTTTAAAAAAATCTAATCAATGTTTGAAACTATCAAATAAAGTAAATAGTAATAATTGTTGTCAATATGTAAAGAATCCAATACTTTTTATTGACAATCGCACTATTTTAAGATCAGTAATTAGTCTATTCAAACATTCATGATTTTTAATTTTAAAAAAAGTAATCTCACTCTTTTTAATCCTTAAATTTGTAATTTCGTATCCCTCACGTTTTATTATTCCGAAAAGGTCTATCTTCTGAGTGGTTGAATATAATATACAAAATCACTCAAAAAGAAAGCCCCATTCAGCAAGTGAGATATTAAATTATCTCAATGTTTATTNAAATAAAAGTTTACATACAGGTTGTTAGATCAAAAGAGAGTAGAATCTCACACAATCCTTTCTTGCTTGTCCTTTTTATTTAAAATGATAATTGCAGAATAATAATGAATGTGAATGAACATAAAATACCATCAAGTGGGATTATTATTGAGTCATAATATATATATAGTAAATTAAGAATATCAGCATGGCCACAAACTCTTAAATCAAAATTTCTTGACTTTCCCAGACTGATTTTATTGAATTTTAATGATATTTGTGACAAGTAACATAAGTTATATATAAAAAAAAATTCAGTTATGCCTTATTCCACGGTTATAAAAATTAAGGACTTAATTGCCTCTATATATAAGGGCAATTTAAGGATGCTGATTCTTTAATGGGAGCAATTTCTAGAATACCAACATGGATTCACAGATATACAATTAGTAGTAATTCCAGTAGTTCCTGCACTTAAGCAAAAAAGGAAACATTTTTAAGAAAACTCAGATTTTTTTATCAAACACACACATATATATATATATATATATAAATATATATATACTTTTTCATTTCATTTTTTAAATCTTTTTAACCGGCGGCGTGATGCAAGAAAGTCTATTTTAATAAAAACAATCATTAAAATTGTGTATGGGGAACCAGAAATTAAATTCTCCAAAATAACTTTACTCTACAAATTATAAAGAAATAAACATTTGCAATGTGTATTTAAGCGCTTATGAGTATTTAAGTGTGATGTCAAAAGTTGATTTTCTGAATTCAAATCCAGTAATTTTGAACATTGCAACTTTCTATTGACCAGAAATACTAAAGTCTGATAAAAAGCTAGTGAGTCATGGTTGGAGGAACTGACTTAACCACATACTGTGCCATGGAATTTATTTCGAATTTATTTATTCTATTTATTTCGATAGCTACAGAATTTTCTAAGCGGATGAAGTTCGAAATGCCATTTTCTGGCTTAAAAATCAACTGACTTTTATCGACGCTGCAATGAAAATTAAGAAAAAAGTTAGCAAAAGGCTGTTGATGACAAAGGCTATTAAATCATTTATTGCTGCTCACTAGCTGAATTTATTGTAAAAAAATGACATTATATTCCGATCACTTTAATACTTGCATGATTTAATAATTACGCGATACAGAAAAGTTCTTATAAATGCTGTATATATAAAAGGAAACCAGAATTTTAAACATGAAAGCATTTTAAACAACACAATAAGTGTTACGCTACAGCTATATCAGAAATACAAGTATTTTGATAAATGATTTAGATAAATCTGTAATTTTATATAATTTTTTTAAATCAAAATTGCTTATCACTAGATATAAATTTTTTATGTCACCTTCACCTTGATGTTGAATATTTATATTCACAGGGAAGCCCCTTCCTTCAGTGACATGGTGGAGAGAATCTGTCCTTCTAGATGACACATACACCGTAACACCTCACGGAGTTGTCCGAAACGAGCTTGAAATCCACTCACTGAAACGTCATGATCTTATGGCTGTCTACACATGCCAAGCTTCAAACAATAATTTTTCTCAACCCTCACTAGCTGCTGTAACAGTTGACATGAACTGTAAGTTACATTCCTTTAGAATTAATCACTTTCATTGTTGTTATGGAAATAGGGTAAGGAAATTCCTTTTCGCTCAACAAAAAGTTCAAACAAAATAAGTCATTAGTTGGAAGAATTGAACTGTTAAAAGCGAATGGTTCACATCAACAAATAGAATGATCTATATTTTGTTTTAATTATATTTATGCAGAATCAATAATGACATTTTGATTCATTATTATTATTATTATTCATTGAAAATCGAGCATTAGTTAAGCTGCTCCGTTTTTTCCATGTAATAAAAAAAAGGTAATATGAAGAAGAAAAGAAAGCGGTCATGACAGTTATGAAAGACGCATTATTGAAAAAATGCGTCGAACACTTGTCGCCATACGTGATGTTTTTAAATAACAGTTTTGTTTCTGAGAGTTTTTCCATTGCATGTCATTTATTTCAAATTAAATTTTTATTTCAATAACTTTTTGATTAAAGATTACATTTTTTTCAAGTATTAATTGGTTTTAAAGATTTAAATAATTGATTAAAAATGTTTTAAGATTTTACGCTTGAGCATATTTCAAATGATTTTATTGTAATAGTGAGAGAAGTGAACATTATTTACTAAGGCAACTATATAAAATTGCGTATTAAACATTTGCGTAGCAAACATATTGCGTAGCAAACATAGAGGGGTGGGGAATGTCAGCGAACAGGGGAGGGCACAACTGCAATAAATTTGTCTTGAATATTAGATAATTAATTTGCTTTAATTATGTAGAACTTAACTCAATCTGATAAATTATAAAAATGTATAAGTGCACTTATACATATTATAAGGTTAGAAAAAATTATTTTATGTTTGAAATAACAGAAACTGATCAAGATAAATTTTAAATTGCTTATTATGTAACTTACATATGTTCCTTTTTGTATGTATATATATTCAAAAATGAAATGAATCAGTTCAAAATGAAGATAAAACAAAGAAAAATTATAGACATAATTTTTCTTTGGGGGAATAATAAGTAAAAAAATAACAACAGTTTAAAAAAAAAAGAAAAAAGGATGAAATTTTATTTAAAAAAACCGGAAGAAAAAGATATAATCTTTTCATCAGCCCACACGATTATATCCGCAAAACAATGAAACTTATTGTTTTTCTTAACTTTCGTTGAGTTTCCTTCTATTTATATATATATATATATATATATATATATAGTATATATATATAGTATATAGTATATATAGTATATATAGTATATA